ATAGATATGTTATTTTCAGTTAGCTTAATTCGAATGAACTATTTTGAATTAAGTTAATTCAAAATAGCCCTGTAGTGTAGACATACCCTCCTATTGTCACCAATCCGTACTGCACATGGAGGAGAGGCACGGTCACAACACAGATAAAGGACACAAGCACAGAGCTGGGGAACTGGGATTGGAACCCTGGTCCCTTATTGCCAAAGACCCCAGGCAACAATGTGCAGATAAGAACCTGGTGAGCTTTTCAAAAGCAGGAAGGGGCGTGATACACCAAATGGACGTTGGCTCCTAACCACTGAGAGGCACCTAAATCCCAGAATGTGGCCCGAGCATCTAAACTCAACTTAGTCTCCTTTGTGCAGTCTAAAGGATTTAGATTTCTGTCTCTGAGCATGTGCACTGTGGACTCAGACCAGGAGTCTCATAGACTCATAGACTTTAAGGTCAGAAGGGACCATTATGATCATCTAGTCTGACCCCCTGCACCGTGCAGGCCACAGAATCTCGCCCACCCCTCTTAGAATAATCCTCTCACCTATGTCTCAGATATTGAAGCCTTCCAATACTTTGAAGGCCCCAACATGCAGAGAGTCCTTCAGCTGTGATCTGTGCCCAATGCTACAGAGGAAGGCGAAAAACCTCCAGGGCCTCTGCCAATCTACCCTGGAGGAAAATTCCTTCCTGACCCCAAATATGGCGATCAGCTAAACCCTGAGCATGTGGGCAAGACTCACCAGCCAGACACCCAGAAAGTTCCCTATAGCAACTCCTATCATCCCTCCATTGACCTATTTCCAACTGGAAATGAATGGTCAATTAGTTACCAAGATCATGTTATTTCATCCAACCATCCCCTTATCATAGAATCAGTACTGGAAGAGACCTCAGAAGGTCGTCAAGTCCAGCCCTCCGCTCTAGGCAGGACCAATCCCATCTAAATCAACCCGGCCAGGGCTTTGTCAAGCCGAGACTTAAACACCTCTAGGGATGGAGACTCCACTACTTCCCTAGGTAACCCATTCCAATGCTTCACTACCCTCCTAGTAAAATAGTTTTTCCTAATATCCAATCTGGACCTCTCCCACCACAACTTGAGACCATTGCTCCTTGTTCTGCCATCTGTCACTACTGAGAACAGCCTCTCTCCATCCTCTTTGGAACCTCCCTTCAGGAAGTTGAAGGCTGCTATCAAGTCCCCCCTCACTCTTCGCTTCTGCAGACTAAACAGACCCAAGTCCCTCAGCCTCTCCTCGTAGGTCATATGCTCCAGACCCCTAATCATTTTGGTTGCCCTCCGCTGGACCCTCTCCAATGCGTCCGCATCCTTTTTGTAGTGGGGGGCCCAGAACTGGACACAGTACTCCAGATGTGGCCTCACCAAAGCCGAATAAAGGGGAATAATGACATCTCTGGATCTGCTGGCAATGCTCCTCTTAATGCATCCTAATATGCCATTAGCCTTCTTGGCTACAAGGGCACACTGTTGACTCATATCTAGCTTCTCATCCACTGTGACCCCCAGGTCCTTTTCTGCAGAACTACTACTTAACTGGTTGGTCCCCAGCCTGTAACTATGCTTGGGATTCTTCCGTCCCAAGTGCAGGACTCTACACTTGTCTTTGTTGAATCTCATGAGATTTCTAGTGGCCCAATCCTCCAATTTGTCCAAGTCACTCTGGACCCTATCTCTGCCCTTAAGCGTATCTACCTCTCCCCCTAGCTTAGTGTCATCTGCAAACTTGCTGAGGGTGCAATCTATCCCCTCATCCAGGTCATTAATAAAGATATTGAACAAAACCGGTCCTAGAACCGACCCTTGGGGCACTCCACTAGAAACCGACCTCCATCCAGTCTGCACATGTATGTCCTAGAGTTTTCTCATTGACTTTACCGGTGGGGCCCAATGGGGCAGGTGAGCTCACCAAAAAAGTAGGGGTGTCAGGAGAGACTCCCTTGTCTCTTTCAGCCCAGTGGTTCGAGTGGGATGTCAGTGATCCCTGATTCATGTTTGTAGTTCTTCAGGGAGGGCCGGTGAGCATTTACTGCTTACTAGGGAAGGGTAAGTGGAAGGAGGTGAGGGAGGAATGGGCCACGAGTCCCTGATGGGGAGGACTGGGGTGGCTCTGCGGGCTCCTCGGGGTGGAAGCTCTCCTGCAGGGCCTCCTGGATCCTGACAGCCCTCCGATTGACCCCCCCGGATGGCAGCCTGCGGCAAATGCAGCCGGGCTGATGGCCGAGTCCTGTGATGTGCCGTGTGAGGGCACTCAGGGCACTCCAAGCCAGGACTGCTTTGCTGTCCCTCATCGAGTTAGACAAGCATCCGGGGAACCTTGAGAACTGTCTGTCTGGGGTGGGGGTCGGGTCCCTTTAAGCACAGCCCTCGGCTAGCCTGACACAGCATCTCCACGCTCTAAGTCCTACTCTGATGCCCTGCCGGCACTGCTTCCGGCCAGCCTTAACCTCGGTTCAGGGTCCACGCAATGTGGACATGCTAGTTCAAATTAGCAAAACGCTAATTCAAATTAGTTTTTAAGTCTAGATGCACTAGTTTGAATTATCTTATTTCGAATTAACTAATTTGAATTAAGTTAGTTGGAATTAGTGCTGTAGTGTAGACAGACCCTTACTGATGATGTAGGAGAGGCGGAGCTTAGGGCTTAGAGAAATAGCATTCTATCCCCACTCTTATCACTGGTCTCCTGGATGATCATGGAAAAGGTCTATCATGAGGACATCTTCTCATTCACCTAGGTGCCCATCTCCTGTTGGCTTTCTCATGCTCAACTCCTGTCTTTACTTTTCAAAGCCCCCTCGTACGTCTGTTGGAAAAATCAAATTAAAAACAATCCCACCCATGAAAAAAAAACACACCGAGTCTCTTATTCCCACCATCCCAGGGTTGTGTTCACAGATGAACAAAACATGAAACAGACGTGCCTGGAGGACACAATTTCACAGTCCTGTATTTCTGGAAACTCATGAGAGGTAAGAACACAAACCCAGAGACCAAATACCCCCCCCCCCCCAAAACACCTTGCACCCAGATTGAAAGCTGGTACTTTTAATAGTTTTCAATGCACCACATTCAGGATAAGGCAGAATTAGTTTGTGACAACATTTCTGGCTTGGGGGATGGAAGTTCAGCTCTCCGTTTTAATAATCCTTTAATTATTTACAACAATGGAACCACTTGTAGAGAAAGGAGAGCGAGAGAGAGTGAAAGCGAGAGAGAGAGAGAAAGAGAGAGAGGTTGTTTCGTAAGCTGGCGCATTTATTCCCACTATGGGAGATGAATGTATGAATTTGGGTCTTCCATACATACACACGAGTGCTTTAACCACCTAGTTAAATGTTACAAAGCGGGGTCTGGCTGCAACCCAGCATGTTAGTCCTGAGTCATTTTGATTGTTTTTTCTTGAGAATATCCAGCTAATTTGAGTGAAATTCACACATCCCTTCAGGCTCCTCAAATCAACTACAGGAGGCCCCCGAGATGCGACCGCCCGAGTTCCGACCCCTACACTTACAATCATTTATGTAAGTGTGGAAGGGGCCGGAACCCCCCAACTTACATCCTTGGCCTGCATTTACAACGATGCACGGTGCCTGCCGTAACTGCGGGTTCAAGTTACGACACCCCTGAGTTGCAATGCTTCCTCCAGAATGAATTGTGTCGCAAGTTGGGGGCCTCCTGTCTACATCCCAAGACAGCGTCGGCCACCATGCCTAGAAAGGGGAAGTTTAGTATTTTGGGGCTTAAGACAGGGCCCCAAATTTTGGAGGAAGAACAAAAATACCAGGGAGATGCAGGGAGATTTTATTCTTTAGTGCAGCATTTCTCAAACTCTGGGTCCCAACCCCCCCCGGGGGGGGGGGAAGGGGAGTCATGAGCAACTTAGAGGGGAGTGACTGAGCAACTGAGAGGGTGGTTGCAGCAATGGAGAGGGGGTCACGAGCAACTGAGAGATGGGTTGCGGTATCACAAGTTTGAGAACCCCTGCTTTAGTGAATGTTTTGGTCAATGTCGGTGGTAGGTATTTGGTTGCATGTAGCACAGCTCTGTCTGCGGCGAGAGAGATTCTTCCATGACATTATGTGGGCTGAAATTTGCAAAGTTGCCTTCAGCTTTTGAGTGCTTATTTCCTATTCATTTTAATTCATTAATTTCTTTTTGCTGGGGTAGGCGGAGACAGGTGGGTCTCCTGTGCTTTGAAACTCTTGGCCATTCATCTCCTGTTTTCGTTGTGTATGTCTGTATCAATATCAATATGGAAATCAGTATTGATAGAGTTATAGATGTTTTACTGTTGTCTCGAACCTGCAAAGATGTATGAATGGGCAAGAAACTTCACAAGACAGAAAAATGAGACTTCCCCAACCCCTCTACAGAATTCTAGGTTTGGTTTATCCAGCTACAACTTGCCATCACAAGTACCAAATCATAGTTCATAGAAACAGAGAATCCGAGGGCTGGAAGAGACCTCAGGAGGTCATCGAGTCCAGCCCCCTCCAAAGCAGGACCAATCCCAACTTAATAGTTCTACACTCACAGCGGTGGAAACATTTTCAACTACTTTTCAGAGGTGTAATTGACAGTGGAGATTCCTCATCAAAGGTTAATGAATATCATTGACTTCAGTGATGGGGGGAAGTGCTTCTGAATGTGGGCATTAGTGTTCATGTATGAATGAATGAAGCAGAGAGCTTTACTAAAATGTGTATCTGGGGAAAAAAGCCCACTTTTAAGAAAGAAAGAAAGAAAGAAAGAAAGAAAGAAAGAAAGAAAGAAAGGTTAACATTATGCTCAACGAATCATAGAATCAGGAGGTCATCAAGTCCAGCCCCTTACCCAAGGCAGGACCAATCTCAAATGTTTCACTTCCTGTCTATTCTCATACACGTCAAAATGCTTCTTTTCACATTCTGTGCCTCTGTCGGAAAGCCGACAGTTTCATAACAGCTTTTCTCAGGGACTCATTAACTTCCTTGTTTCTCAGGCAGTAGATGATGGGGTTGATCATGGGATTCAGGACCGTGTAAAAGACAGAAAATAATTTGTTTAGGATTGTGGGAGCGTTGGCTGTTGGAAACACATAGATAGTAATAAGAGTCCCATAGTAAACTGTCACCACAGTGAGGTGAGAGGAGCAGGTGGAAAAGGCCTTTTGCCTCCCGATGTTGGATGAGATTCTCAGGATGGCTGTGATGATACAAACGTAGGACACCAGGGTCAGGAGACAGGGCACAAGTGCCCCTAGGGCAGCGATGATAAAAGTCACCAGCTCCAGAGTCCGGGTGTCATCACAGGACAGCTTGATCGTGGGTGAAAAATCACAGAAGAAATGGTCGATTTCTTGGTAACCACAGAATTGTAATTGGGACATAAAAATATTGACGATGGTGCAGCCCAGAAAGCCACTTATCCAGCAGCCGGCCACAAGCCAGGCACACACCTGCCCATTCATCAGAACAGTGTAATGGAGGGGGTGGCAGATCGCTAGATACCGATCGTAGGAAATGGCCGTGAGCAGCAGACATTCTGACGCTGAAATGGTACCAAACAAATATATCTGCACCAGGCAGCCCTTCTCACTAAATGCGGTGTACTGCCCTTTCCCCTATAAAAGGTCTTGTGTGCTTTGTTTAAGCATAACAGTTATTCTATTCAATGTTTTCCCTAGAGAACAGGTAAAAGTCATGATTACTCAGAGTGAAATAAGCTTAACCATAGACCACTGGATCATGGATCATTGGGACAATGAAAATTTCTAAGGTTCATCCAGCAATCATTTTCTATTTGCTGTAATCTATATTTAACAGGAATGCTCAACTCTACCCGGAAGTGACTCTTATTCATGAGGTACTCATTAAAAGCAATCTTTCGGGGGGATTCATAGACTCATAGAATGATAGAACTGGAAGAGACTTCAGAAGGTCATCAAGTCCAGCCCCCTGCTCTAGGCAGGACCAATCCCAACTAAATCAACCCAACCAAGGCTTTGTCAAGCTGAGACTTAAACACCGCTAGGGATGGATACTCCACTACTTCCCCAGGTAACCCATTCCAGTGCTTCACCACTCTCCTAGGGTACGTCTAGACTATAGGCTTTTGCCAACAGAAGTTTTGTCGACAGATACTGTCAACAAAGCTTCCGTTGACAAAGAGCGTCTAGACTACATCCAGTTCTGTCGACAAAGCAAGCCGCTTTGTTAACATGAGAGTGTAGATGCAAAGGACAGTGTAGATGCAATAACGCCTTCTGTTGACAGAACTCTGTCGACAAATGAGGTTTACCGTCGTCGACAAAACTGCTGAGTTCTGTCAACGTTATGGCGACAGAACTCAGTGGTAGTGTAGACTCAGGTATAGTTTTGTCAACAAAACCTTGTAGTCTAGACACACCCCTAGTGAAATACTTTTTCCTAATATCCAACCTGGTCCTCTCTCACCACAGCTTGAGACCATTGCTCCTTGTTCTGCCATCCATCACTACTGAGAACAGCCTCTCTCCATTCTCTTTGGAACCTCCCTTCAGGAAGCTGAAGGCTGCTCTCAAATCCCCCCTCACTCTTCTCTTCTGCAGACTAAATAGACTGAACTCCCTCAGCCTCTCCCGTAGATCATATGTTCCAGCCCCCTAATCATTTTGGTTGCCCTCCGCTGGACCCTCTCCAATGCATCCACATCCTTCCTGTAATTGGGGGCCCAGAACTGGACACATGTGGCCTCACCAGAGTCGAGTAAAGAGTTAGCACTAGTGCTATTTGAAGGTTATTCCTGAACGTTCTCCTCTGATGGTGAAAAACCATCTTCTAATTTCCACCTTGAAATTTCTTCATGGCCTGTTATACCCATTTAATTTTGTGCCAACAAGGCAAAGACAGTCGACTGTTAGGACTTTCTCTTTGCTCTCCCTTAGTTCTTTACATGCAGACAAAAGCAGAAGACCAGAGTTCAAAGTGCAGGCAATTCAGGATTTACTGGGGTTAGTGAAACAAGAATATTTACACCTCTGTACTATAGTCCATTTTTTTTTACCTCTTCCTCCTTCCTCTTCTTAACAGGAATAATTGTATCTATAGTGCCCTATCTTGTCATGACCCTTTTCAATGTATAGTCATGTTCCTTTTGGGTGGGTCTTGAGTCTGGGGGCTTTGAAACCTCTTGCGTAGCCTCGTGAGGGGTGAAGAATGAAATCATGTACTAGCCAAGGCCTAATTTTTCTTTAGCTTTTAGTGTTTCTCATGCCTCTCTGCTTTGCCCTTCCTAACTTGATTGACATTGGCTTGCGAGAGGGGTCAAGGTATCCTCAACTGAAGACAAGCAGAGGAAAGGGAAACCAGACAAAAACCCAAAGACAAAACCCAATGTCTGATGCAACACTTTGGCTATGTCTAGACTGCAGGCTTCTTTCGAAAGAGCCTCTTTCGAAAGATCGCGTCTAGACTGCAGGCGGATCTTTCGAAAGAGAAATCCGCTTTTTCAAAAGAGAGCACCCAGCGAGTCTGGATGCTCTCTTTCGAAGACGGCCTCTTTACATTGAAGAACGCCGTCCTTTGAAAGAGGAACTTTCGAAGGAAGGCGTTCTTCCTCGTGAAACGAGGTTTACCGCCATCGAAAGAAAAGCCGCGTTCTTTCGAAATAATTTCGAAAGAACGCAGCTTGAGTCTGGATGCAGGGGAAGTTTTTTCGGGAAAAGGCTACTTTTCCCGAAAAAACCCCTGAGTCTGGACACGGCCATTGTCTCTGTCCTTTGTTTACACATGTTAGTAAGGCTAAAAAGTATCAAAAATCAAATGGGCAACCAAACCCTAGAATTCTCTCTCAGGCAAATAATACTGAAGTTACTATCTTGGACCTCCCCCGTAACTTTCTTCCCAGTGGTTTGGCTAGCCAAATGGAAAATGGCAGACTCCAACTTTAAAGCCTGGTCTACACTATATTGGAAGCTTGACCGAAGATAAACCAATCCAGCTATGTTAATTATATAACTGGAGTCAACCTACCTTAAATTACCATCCCCACAATGGGAAATTGATTGGTGAAAATGCTCCCATCGGCTTTCTTTACTCCTCATAAGGAGCAGGAATACCAGTGGTGACAGGCGTACCTTTAGAGTTTGTTTTAGTGGGTCTATACTACACCTGCTAAATCGAACCCCAGAAGTTTGACCGGGGCAGCTTCGATCTTCTGTGTAGTGTAGATGTGCCCATGTGTTTGAAGAGGAGAAATGATTTAAACACCTCTCAGATGTGTTCCAAGACCACTGAAATATGGGAAATCTCTCTCAGTTTTCCCTGTTCAAGTCCCCTTGATACTTTAATTCCAGTTTAATCTACTTCTGGAGTAGCTATGATGATTTACAAATGCTGAGGATCTGGCCAATTGGTTTCAATGGATCCACATTGATATACACTACTGGAAGACTTGGCCCAAAGGGTCAATCAAATGTCTGAACTGAGAATGTTCTAAACATTGGAACGATGGTCTCTCTAAAAAAAAACCCACAAGAACTTTCAAGCTAGTTAAGAAACCTAAATTTTCCTGATATACTCCTTAGAGCAGTTTTCACCTCCTTGTTTTTCAGGCTGTAGATGATGGGGTTTAACATGGGGGTCAGGATGCTGTACTGGATGGAGAACATTTCATCCAGAACTGCAGAGGAGATGGATCTGGGTTTCGTGTACTGTAAAAAAGCCGTCAGGTACAACAAACCAACCACAATCAGGTGGGAGCTGCAGGTGGAGAAGGCTTTCCTCCTGCCCTCGGCAGACCGCATCCGCAGGATGGTGGTGATGACGTAGACGTAGGAGATAAGGGTGAAGAGGAAGGAGCTTGAGCCAAGTACGACAACAGAAGACAGAAGCACGACCTGGTTGACGAGAATGTCCCTGCAGGAGAGTCTTAACAGAGGAGGCAGCTCACAGCTGAAATGCTGGATTTCATTGGGTCCACAAAAGTGCAAGTCAAGGGCAAAAACAGTGTTAATTAAGGCGTAAAAGAAGCCTGTGGTCCATGCACCACTCATCAGCTGAACCCAGATCTTCTTGTTCATTGCGTCCACGTAATGCAAGGGGTCACAGATGGCAGCATAGCGGTCGTAAGCCATGGCTGAGAGAAGGAAAACTTCCGTGCCAGCTAAGAGGAAAAATAAGAACATCTGGGAAAGGCAGCCCCTGACCGAAATTGTTTTAGACTCCACCAGGAAGTTCATCAGCATATTGGGAACTGTGACTGAGGAATAGCAGATGTCAACAAAGGACAAGTGGAAGAGAAAGAAATACATTGGGGTGTGAAGGTGAAAATCAACTTTTATTAGCACCATCATCACTATGTTCCCAAGCATGGTGACTAGGTAAATAATGAAAAACACCACAAAGAGGAAAATCTGTATCTGACGGTCACTAGAAAGTCCCAGGAAGATAAATTCAGTCACCGTGGTTTGGTTTTCCATTGATGTGTAGTCAGGGAAACTGTGGCCTGGGAAATGAGAAAAAAATGTCAATTGAATATTTATGATTAAGATAAATACGAATAGAATGTTGATACAATCTGATCAGTAGCATGAAAATAAAGAGAACCCTATTCCTTCCTGTGAAAAGAGTGCTCTACATAGATTGAATTCAGAGAGAGGATGGAAGGATGGAAGGATGGATGGATGAACAGACAGAGAGGTGGGTGAGTGGATGGCAGCATAGCAGTCAAAAAGGCAAATAGGATGCTAGGAATTATTACGAAAGGAATAGGAAATAAAACAGAATATCTTACTGCCCCTGAATACTGAGTACAGACGTGGTCTCCTCACCTCAAAAAAGATATTTTGGCCTTGGAAAGGGTTCAGAAAAGGGCAACTAAAATGATTAGGGGTTTGGAACGGGTCCCATATGAGGAGAGGTTAAAGCGACTGGGACTTTTCAGTTTAGAAAAGAGGAGACTGAGGGGGGATATGATAGAGGTCTATAAAATCATGAGTGGTGTGGAGAGGGCTGATAAAGAAAAGTTATTTATTAGTTCCCATAATAGAAGAACTAGAGGACACCAAATGAAGTTAATGGGTAGCAGGTTTAAAACTAATAAAAGAAAGTTCTTCTTCACACAGCGCATAGTCAACCTGTGGAACTCCTTGCCAGAGGAGGCTGTGAAGGCTAGGACTATAATAGAGTTTAAAGAGAAGCTAGATAATTTCATGGAGGTTAGGTCCATAAAAGGCTATTAGCCAGGGGATAAAATGGTGTCCTTGGCCTCTGTTTGTCAGAGGCTGGAGAAGGATGGCAAGAGACAAATCACTTGATCATTGTCTTCCGTCCACCCCCTCTGGGGCATCTGGCTTTGGCCACTGTTGGCAGACAGGGCACTGGGCTAGATGGACCTTTGGTCTGACCCAGTACAGCCATTCTTATATTCTTATGATGGAATTTGTTAATTTGAAATAGACAAAATGTCTGCATATACAGATGGATTTAGAAATCAAACTTTGCCATTATAGATGTCCAATACCCAGAATCAACCCCAGGATTCACAGATGGGATTCACTCGGCTGGGATGGTGGGACAGACTGAAGAGAAGTTCCTCTATCTCTGCTCTTGAAGCTGAAGCTCAAGAAATAGACCAGAAATGGAGCATTCCTATTGTATACTGGGTCTTTCTCTTGCAGAATAAGCGCTTTAGCTGGGAGGCGATAGGCGAGTTATTCATTTTCTCTCTCGCTTTCTACATCATCCACTCCTTCTATCCTAACCTCCCTTTATCTGGCCCAATAATTTTGTTGGGACCACAACAAATTTCCAGCAGTAAAGGATCTGGCCCCGTGACACCAAAATAACTGTATGGTTTATACCGACTGGGGAGCTGGTCCATTAACACTTTGTTTATTAGATTCCATCTAGTGTTTTAGACTATGTTTTTGAAAATTTAATTTAATATCTGTAGTAACTTATTGGGTTCATTCCTATTAAACTCACTAGTATCGTAATAGTAGTAGTAGTAGTAGTAGTAGCTGTAGAAGAAGAAGAAGAAGAAGAAGAAGAAGAAGAAGAAGAAGAAGAAGAAGAAGAAGAAGAAGAAGAAGAAGGGATGGATTTGATGCCTTCCTGAGGTCTCTTCCAACCCTAGTCTTCTGAGATCCGAAGAAAAAAGAAAAAAGGTGGAAAAAACAATACAAGAGAAAAGAAAAAAAGTAAGAAAAAAGAAAAAAGAAAGGAAAAAAGGAAAAAGAAAATAAAAAAAAAACAAAAAACAAAAAAAGGGAAAAGAAAAAAAGAAAAGAAAAGACAAAAAGAAAGACGTAAGAAAAAAGAAAAAAGAGAAGACGAAGACGAAGACGAAGATGATGATGAAGAGGAATGTGCCCAGCAAATATTCTCCAGTCCGAATGAGAACATGTTGAAAAGAGACAGGAATTCAATGGCCTTTTTTTCCTACATCACTTAAGCTCCTATGAAAAGCCACCTTTGATTAATTGATTTGTAAAACTGAGTGTCACATTTTTTTCTGCCCTACTGGAAGCAAGTGACTTTTTTCCTCCATTTTAATAGTCTCACTAATGTCCGATCTTTGTTCATGTCCAAGGTGACTCTAGAGACAAATTAACCCTTTCCTCCATTATCAGACCCAGAGAGACATACCAAAGCACAGAACATAAGAACGGCCAGACTGAATCAGACCAACGGTCCATCCAGCCCAGTGTCCTATTTGCCGACAGTGGCCAATGCCAGATGCCCCAGAGGGAGGGATCACAACAGGTAATCCTCACGTGATCCCTCCCCTGTCACCTACCTCCAGAGAAACAGAAGCTAAGGACACCGTTCCTACTCATCCTGGCTAATAGCTATTGATGGACCTAACCTCCATGAATCTATCTAGCTCTTTTTTGAACCCTGTTAAAGTTCTAGCTTTCACCGTATCCTCTGGCAAGGAGTTCCACAGGTTGACTGTGCACTGAGTGAAGAAAAAAAGAGATGTAGCTTGTAACAGAATATAAATGCTAATGTAAACACATTCTGTGCAAGGGAAGAACTCATAGTGGAGAGAAGTAAATAGCTGGATTTATCCAGTACCGGTAGTTTTTAACATAACCATAAATGGAGCAGGGAAAGGGCTAAATAATTATGTAGCAATTTTGTCGAGGATACACAATAATTCAAGATAATTAAATAGAAGGGAAACTCTGAAAAGTTACCAAGGAATCTCAAAAAGAGAGTGACTGGGCTAGAAAAAGGCAGATGAAGTTAAATGCTCATAAAAGCAAAGTGAATCACATTGGAGAACATATTCTGAACTAGACACGCAAGCCTGTCTCCATTACCTGTTAGCCAACCAGACTGAGCTCTTCAAGGCTTTGCCAATAGTTCCCTGAAAATAGCTGCTGAATGTACGACAGCAGTTAAAAAAGCCAAGGCAATGCTTAGGAAGCGTTAGGAAATGGTGAGAGAAAAAGTCTCATGATGCCTGTATGTAAATTCATGGTGTGCCGACACCAGGAGGTTCTGGTAGTTCCATCTCAAAAATGGTATACAGGAAGTCCCCGGGTTACGTACAAGATAGGGACTGTAGGTTTGTTCTTAAGTTGAATTTGTATGTAAGTCGGAACTGGTACATATTGTAGGGGAAACTCTAGCCAAACATTTCTCCAGAGCTCAGTTTTATTCTCCCACACCTCACTTCCCTCAGTCCTTTATTCTCAAGTTGAGGTGTCTGCTGAGAGCGCTAGCTCCGCGTCTCCCTGGTCTGCTGGGGGGGGGAGGCGCTAGCTCCGTGTCTCCCTGGTCTGCTGGGGGGGGGAGGCGCTAGCTTCGCATCTCCCTGGTCTGCTGGGGGGAAGCAGCTACTTACACCCCGTTTGTAAGTAGGGATCCGATGTAAGTCAGATCCATGTAACCCGGGGACTGCCTGTATTCAAATTGGAAAAAGCACAACCAAACTGGTTCTGGTATGGAATAGCCTCTGTATCGGGTGGGGAGGGACATTTCAAAGACTGGGACTGTCTGGCTAGGAAAAGTGTTGACGAAGGGGGGATATGATAGACGTCTAAACCGAGTGACTGTTGTGGAGAAAGTGAATAAGGAAGTGTTATTTATTCTTCCACATAATGCAAGAACTAGGGGTCGCCCGATGAAACTAACAGGCATCAGGTCTACCGGGGACACTGCAGGATGAAAAAAAAGGTTCAGAGAATAAGACAGCGAATATCTTATTGCCCTTATGTTAAACAATAGGACACGCACATCTTGAATACTGCGTGTAGATGTGGTCACCTCACCTCAAAAAAATCTCTTGGCATTGGGAAAAGTTCAGAAAAGGGCAACAAAAATGATGAGGGGTTTGGAATGGGTCCCGTATGAAGAGAGATGAAAAAGACTGGGACTTTTCACCTTAGAAAAGAGGAGACTAAGAGGGGATATGATAGAGGTCTATAAAATCATGACCAGTGTGGAGAAAATGAATAAGGAAAAGTTATTTACTTCTTCCTCTAACATAAGAACTCGGGGTCACCAAATGAAATGAATAGGTAGCTGGCTTAAAACAAACAAAAGGAAGATTTTCTTCACACAGTCAACCTGCGGAACTCCTTGCCAGAGGAAGTTGTGAAGACCAGGACTTTAACAGGGTTCAAAAAGAACTAGATAAATTCATGGAGGAAAGGTCCATGAATGGCTATTAGCCAGGATGGGTAGGGATGGTGTCCCTCGCCTTTGTTAGGGGCTGGGAATAGGCGACAGAGGAGGGATCACTGGATGTTTCCCTGTTCTGTTCACTCCCTCTGGGGCACCTGGAATTGGCCGCTGTTGGCAGACAGGACACTGGGCTAGATGGACCTTTGGACTGACCTAGTATGGCTGTTCTTATGTTCACAGTGTAGTTGTTAATGTCTCGGTCCAAGGATATTTGAGCAACAAGGGGGGTGAGATAATACCTTCCACGGGACCATCTTCTGTGAGTGAGAGAGAACTGGGGAGCAGGGGGTTAAAAGCTTGTGGTCCAATTAAAGATTTTACCTCCCCACCTTGAATCTGTGTGCGCAGACTGCTGTTTCCAGGTGGCGAATCTGGTTGTTTGAAATGAAAAGGGTAAAATGAGATTCAAGCGGAATAAAAATATGAGTTAACTCACCTGTCGTTTAACGGTGGCTCATAAAAATGGTGAGCTCATTCCGGCACGAGGTTTTCTCTTGCTGTCGTCTCAGTCCATTTACCTCTCAGCTGATTGGTTCATCTGTCTGTCTGCAACCCAGTGTCTTAAGATACCAATTCCTCGTTACTCCCGACACTTAAATCTGACAAGGCCGATACCGTTATCCCTGCGATTGGGGCACAAAGCCTTTCTTCATCTGAATCCTAGACTAAAAACAGATTCCTAAGAGCTGTTTAAATGCCGTCTTCTCCCTCCTGGGACAAGATCCCCGACGTTCATTTTCTGTAACAAGCAACCAATAACACCCGTCTGGGTCAGTCCTTA